AAAACTACAACATTCCGAAAGAACTATCATAGAAACAGCTTCACGAAGATATAAGTAGATGCATGATTGTAGAATGTAACAAAGTAACAAATCAAATAAATAAATATAAACTTCATTGCAGAAACAGGGCTTAACTGATTGACCTGACTCAACTTCCAATTGATGAATGAAACAAAAGTTGGTGACCATTTTTTATGTGTGAACTATAGAATCTTTTCCAAACTTTGTTAAAATTAGGTCATTGAATCAAAAGGTTGCTGCAACGGTTAAGCCCGTCAATTTTCATATAATGTTCATCTGTTGGTGCATTATAAAAAGAGCAGCTGCACTAGAAGTCTACGATATGAAGAATTAGCAAGCATCCTTAACTCATATTTTTATTCTTGACATTAAGTTCTAATCCATATAAAAGGGATTCAGAACATAAAGAATCCAACTTGAAACTCAGAAATCCAGATAATGGAAACAAATTAATGCAGCAGATTATCAAAAGTTTCAAGATGTGAGACAAGACCAGGGTTAGTCATAAATGTTATTGTAAAACTTGCCCAAACTTGCCCAACGTCTTCAATTGACGATAGGACCAGGCACAAGCCCATGTCATTAACAGAAAACCTCAACTGCATCGAGTATAAAACAACGCAACTCATAGAAATCAAAATTTATTAAAAAAAAAAAATGTTTTAACAGTTTTTGTAAGAATCACTCACTCAAGGAGGTACTTTCTGACAAGAAATTCAGGAGCATAATGAAGTTCAACCAGGTAAGGGAAAAGTTCCGCCGCCTGAGAAGGTTCAATGGACAACAAGATGTCTTTGGCCTGCTTCAATGACGATAGCTTCACGGCCAAGTCCCCATGGTTGTTCGCCGCTGCCAGCAGAGGAAGCGCCTGCTCCCTCGATGGAGGCCCAGCCATGTCACAATTTGGAAGATCGATTCAAAATCAGAATTTTGGGATAAACGTTGGGGTTTTCGTTCAAAGGGGGTTCTAGGGTTTGAATTGGGAGGGGAGTGGGGGATTGGCAAAGGAGGAAAATTGATTATAGGGTAATCCAAAGGATAGTTAAGGATATATACTTCCTCCAATAGTCCCATTTACTAAGGAGGATGCATGTATACCATTAGGATTTTTAAAAACTTTGAAAGTCTTTTTAAGATTTTTAAAATTTTAGTGTATTTAATTTAAAAATTTTAAAAGTATTGAGGTATTTATTTGGGATGTTAAAAAGTCTTACAAAATCTCGAGGTATTTATAATTTATTTGATACTATAATTTTATATGACTTTTTTAAGATTTGCCGAGATTTCTAAAGAAAAAAACATATATGAAGTCTCACTCCGAATCCCACCTCTAGACTAGACTTGTAAACAAATCGAATTTTTTTATTCGATTCAATATTCGAATTTGAATACGAATAATGTTTTATATTCAAAAGATAAACGAATTCGAATTTGTAGTTATTCGATAAGAAATTCGATATTCGATCCGTTAAGGATAATTATATAAATTTAAAAATTATATATAGTACAAATTTTCTTTATAATATATATATATATATATATATTGTTATATTCCTAATATTTTTATGATATAAAAAGTAAAAACATTTCAAATTAATAATTTGCTCTAAAAACATCTCAAATTGGATAGGCAAAACAATTTTGTAATTATATTTTTAATTATATTATTTTTCTGAAAACAAATTTCAACCGATCTAATATGTACGAATATTCTAAACGAATCGAATACGAATCAAAAAATGAATTCATTTACAAATTGAATACGAATTCGAATCCTCGAATATTTTAACGAATTCGAATCGAAAATCTTAATATTGGCTTTAATTCGATTCATTTACAACCATACTCTAAACTTACGGGGGTCTATTCAATTAAGATTCAAATGACGTTTTAAACTTTTTAAGATTTTCAGAAAATGGAAGAATTCTATGAAGGGATTTCGTATCAGGTTTTTTCCTTAAAAATTCCACCAAATCGTAAAAAGGTCTTAACAAATCCTAGCTTCAAATGGGTTAAATATTTTAGGATTTTGTAAAATTTTTAAAAATTTCAATTGAATACCACAAGACTTTTAAAAGTCTTAACAAATCTGAATTGAATACACCATGATTTCTAAAATTTTAAAAAATCTTTAGAAATCTCAATTAAATACACTCCCTTAAAATTTCATCGGATTCTTCTTAAACACGAAAATCTTAAAAAATCTCAAATTTCAAAAAGCTTCTCAATGTCACTTGAAATCCCATACGACCTATATGGGATGGATTTGACTATATTATGTATGCTAGGAATGGGATTTGATTATATTATTTATGTTAGTGTTCATTTCAACTTTTATTATTTGTTTACAATGTATGACGTATACTTGACCTGTGTAATCTTTCATTTACTTCGCACAATTAGTTTTTATGATACTAGTTAAAATGACAATTATAGTCCTTATTGGAGAAAATTGTGTAATTAGGTTTTAACACAAATTTTCGGTATTTTTCAACTACGAGAGCATAACCAGTGTTTGACTTTCACCCCATGTTTGGTTTGGGGTTTATGGTAGCACAAGGAGGAAGAAGATCGCAAATTGGGGTACTTGTGATTCATACTTGGTCGAAGAATCGGCTTTGACAAACTAATTAGTTTAAGTAAGATCCATTTTATTTGTTCTCAAGGCGAAACCATAGCCGATAGTAGTGCTTGAACATTGCTTATAGTTTGTTGGCTCTTTTCTAAATCGTATAATTGTATGCATTTCGAAAGTGTTCTAGTCGTATGTTGCTTTCAGTTTGATTATTGTATGTTATTATCTGCATGGTTTAGAACTATTGCGGCTTGGTATTTTGAAAGTGTTCGAATTGGATCTTTTGTTTTTGCGAATATTTAAAACTGAGATTGTACAGATAGATCAAAATAACATATTAAACTGTACAAACAATCAAATTGGGATTGTACAGACATCAAATTTCTTGGTGCTTTAATTAAGTGATTACTTTGTTGCCCAACACTGCCCGAATGGGCTGCCCAAATTGCCCGTTCGTATTGCCCCAATTATTCAATTTTGTTAAGCCGTTTGGCCCTATCCACGTGTGGTTCTTATCGTAATAATATTTCTTCTTATCCATTTGTCTGCCTTATAAGACGGTCTAATTGCGCGACTGACCGATGCGCCTCGAGGTAGGTGTCTTCTATGCTGATCTCACATGCTTTGCTTTCCTGGTTGATCTATCGACCAGTCATGCCTTCAGGTAGAGTTTCAACCAGGCCATCCAAGGGCCCTAGCTCAACCCAAATGCTCTTTTGGACCTACGACGTCCTCATCGACATGAGGGATCTTCGACTTGTAGTTTCCTCAAACTCCGTTTGACATAATTGTTCACTCGATTTAGTCAGCTTGTTTCTTGGATCAAGCTAACCCGATATGGTATCCCATATCATCTTGGATGAAAATGGTGAATTAAAATTAATGTATGTGTGAGAATGATTGATTTATATATTTAATTATATTGATAATATTTAGAAGAGTTGAGTTAGATTTTGAGTTAAATAATGTAAAAAAATTATCCAGTCATGATTTTAATTTGTAGTCAATCGTCCTAAACATAAGTACTCGGATTTTTGTGAAATGAAGGGACCCACCCCTTCTACAAGCAGGGCTGGTCTGACTCGCCTAAAGGTGTCCAACGGCCGGGTTGATTCACGACCCAGCCCGGCGAGCCTCAAATGCCTGGTTTAGAACTGCCTGACCCGACGGTTCATCGAATCGCCAGTTTTTCAATTAAAATAAATAAATAAATAAAATTAACTTCGACCCCCCTTCCGACTTGGAACCGGCCCGGAACTTGCGGATCAAAATAAAAAAAAAATTAAGACTCGAAACCGGCCCTTAAGGGCTGGGTATGTTTGTGTTGTTGTTCGATTGTTAACAACGATTATAAGTATGTTAATTAAGTGGTCCGAGTGATTTGAACGTCAAACATGCAAGCAATACACGCACAATGGCACCGGTCCGAGGTGAAAGATGGAGCGACCTTTATATATATATGTTTTGAATGTGCAGAGATCGATCCCCGTACAAGAATGTGAATGTGCTATTTATAGTAGCTTTTTGGGTCCATATCTCGAGGTGTACGGTCACTTTTTCTTGTAAAATAGCTTTTTTGTGGGCGGCCATGTGAGGGGGTCCCGCTTGAATGATGAACGATCTCGTGATGTGCGAAGATGACGTATAGGCGCCTTGTCACCAGCTTCGGGGGTGGTGACCTCGGTTTGGGACGACCTCGGTTCTTCTTCACGTCGGTCGAAGACCGAATTTGGTAATATAATCCGAAGTAAGCGGGATTTTCAGGTCTGCCGTTTAGTGATGATTATCATAATATGTGATCACGGATAAGTGACCCCGGATTACCGGGTCGGATGATAACAATTTGCATACAAAAATTAAAAAAAAAAAATTCAACATTTTAACTCAATCGTTTTTTTTTTTACTCAACCTCATTATCATCAATATTATCGATACAATAATATAATATCAATAAATCATTTATACACACCACCAACCTTAATTCACTATTTATCATCTCACATTAACTAACATCACTTCAAATCATCTCTCCTCTACTTTTACATCAAATTAATTTTAATAATTTTATTTTAAATTATTTTAATATACCAACTAACAAGTAATCATACCATTTCTTTTTTTAAAAAAAATTAACTAACCAAACCAAAAAATCCAACAACAAAATTTTTTTGTATATCCAAGTGCTTTAAGGGCCCGGTTCAAAAACGGGTAAATCCAAGCCGGTTCCAGACCAGGTCAGCGGGCCGGGTCGACCCTGGCCATGTCTCGCCCTAAGGCTTCAGCTGGTCCAAATTAACATCCCTATTCCTTTATATATACGCCGATCAAATTAGTTCGTATAGCTGACGCAAAATTTTCCGCCACTACATCCGCTGCCCTCCGCCCATAATTCGGCGATCGGATCATGGAGGGCTGGGACACCACAACGAAGTCGACTTTGACCCGAATCCCCTTGCTGACGGTGAAAGCCGGCCCGCGCGACGGCGGCGCGTGGACCCAACGCCTGAAGGAGGAATACAAGGCGCTGATCGCCTACACCTCGATGAACAAGGCCAACGACAACGACTGGTTCCGTATATCTGCCGCCAACCCGGAGGGGACGCGATGGACCGGAAAATGCTGGTACGTTCACAATTTGCTCAAGTACGAGTTTGATCTGCAGTTCGATATACCCGTTACATATCCTGCTACGGCCCCGGAGCTTGAGTTGCCGCAACTGGACGGGAAAACGCAGAAGGTTCTTCTTTCTTCTGTCTTTTCAATGAATTGGAGAACTAGCTTATATGTTGGAATTGTTTTGTGATTGTGTTTGATTTGTTTGCCTAGATGTATAGAGGAGGGAAGATATGTTTGACGGTGCATTTCAAGCCGCTCTGGGCTAAAAACTGGTAACAAGAATTAGATGCTTCTTTCTAATTTAGTGTCTGATTCGTTTTCCGAAGCAAGTATAACTTAGAAATGACTTTCATCTGGGCTTGTTCTGGTAATGAAGTTGAGGGTACTTCTTTGATTAGTTGTTCGGAACACTGTACTATGTGCTTTGTGCGAGTTTTTAACAGACTAGCGGATTCAATTAGTGGTGGCTTCAAATAGTTTACAGCGAGAAAGTTCTTAAAAATCGAAATGTTGAGAGTGGACTTGCACAGAGAGGGATCACATTATCCCCAACACACCTTTTTAAGGAAAATTCTCTACAAGGACCTTGCATGTGTTTGTGGGTGTGGAATTTTGTCTTAGCAATCATATTTGGTTTTCGACACCCACCATTTGTGAACTGTTCAGGGACTCAAACTAGATAAGATGGTGGATAGTTGTGTCGCATATAAATTTCAATTAAGTTTCTGTAGAACTTAGAAGTAAGGCATGTTAGCATATGAACGGAGGTGTTGTACTTTGTGATCTTCTGTTGACTTTATGATATTTGAGTGTTTGTTGCATTGTTCGGATTCAGACATTATGCTATATAGGGGCAATGTTAAGTGGGATAGTTGAAGGTGCAGGATTTGGAGAATGCACCATAATCAGAAGGGAAGGGCTAGAGATATCCTCTGTTATGAGTTGTACATCTTATATTTCTTGCTCGACTTCGTTTATACCTCATGCCTTTGTGAAATTGTGACCATAACAAACCAACTAATCCCTCTTCCTAGCATTGCCAAATTCAAGAAATCTATTACTTGCATGTCTAGATAGTGTGTATATGCCAATATCGGCTGTTGTGTTACTTTGGCCACCTCAAGTAAATTAACCCAAGAGCTGTCTCGTTAATTTGCTCCAAAGGGAGCAAACTTCTTGTTCCCTGTGCAGACTAATGGCTTCTTTAGATTTCAAAGATAATGAAGGGCCCTACTATGTCACAAACAAAAGCAATCCCACTTACTGAGTCACTGGGATTTGTTTCAGCATCTGTCATTTTATGAGCATGAAATCAGCTATTTTTCATCTGATTGCAGAAGTGGCACTTAAACCTTTTTGAGATGGGGCTTTTGTATAGTTATTTTGCGTAAATTACGGGTTGATTTTCCATATATCATTCTCATATTAGGCTGTTGGTTCATTCTTTACTGCTTTTGCTTGCTCTATCTGACATAAAAAAGGACTGGTGCAAAATTGGTGTTCTCTCGATATGAGGAATCCTGGATCTTGATAGGTGAAAATCACGTGGGTGTACAAGTTTTTCTGAGCAATTAAATTAGATAGTAAATACTTGAGAAGATGACAAAATGTAATACCTGTTTGAACTAACAATTACTTCATTGCCCTTCTGGTGGCAGACATGATATATAATTAAGCCGAAATTTGGTTGTCACGTCAGTAGATGGGAAATTCTCTCTGGTAGCCCAACATATGATGATATAATATGAAATGTAAGAAATTATCCTAGAACCCTTATTCGTTCTTCTTGGTAGGATTCCAAGTCAAATGTAAATTTATCCTTGCATTTCATCTTAGGGTAGAACGGATATTCGAATGCAAAAACTATCATCATTCTCTTTTGAATGGAAAAACTAGCAAATGATTTATCTGTCAGTCCTCTTTAGTTTTGCGCGATCCCCCAACGCAGAAAACAGACAGTTCAAAACACTAACACTGTTCTTTAGTTTAAACTGTTAATATATTACATTTTCTTGTTATTATGTTCGACGTCCTTTTATTTCATTTTTGACAATTTTTAGTAGTATCATGCTCTGCAATTTCATCTTGCTCCTTCAGAAAAGACAACTCTTGACAATACTTCCACTGACTTGGGTTTCTCTGATTTACATAGCCCTAGATTTGGCATAGCACATGCTCTCTGTTTGGGGCTGGCACCTTGGCTTGCAGCAGAAATTCCTATTTTGGTTGATTCTGGCATGATTAAGCACAAAGATGATGCAGCATCGTCCTCAGAAACCTCTTGAATCTCCTTTTGTGGAGTCTGAAAGAATAAATGTTCCAATTTTGGGAGTTCCCTAAACTTTTTGTAGTTTATTGTCCTGGTCTCAGCATGTACCTTCGAGCAAATCTATACTTGTATGAGCTTGTGGGTGTGTGTGTATATATTTCGTTCAATATCTATACATACTAAGCATTTGTGCCTTATTCGAAACAAAATCTTTCGTGGAGAGTTTCAATCTTGTTGACATATTGTGGATTTCAACTCCAGGTCAGGGAGTTTTTAGTTCTTCACTTGTGCTCTCAAATTTTTGATAAATGATGAGATATGTTTGCACTTTGAAGCCCTTACACTAACTTCAGTGGTTTATCTGTCAAACTTCCTAAATTTAGCTGCCTAAACGAGACTCCTTGTACTTTTTGCTCCTCTTCACTTTTACTCCAATAATCTTCCTACTTTTATCAGTTTCTTTATTATAGGGACTCTTTGTTTCATTTTCGTTCCAGTTGGCTGGGAGCCATGCCTTCTAGATCTACTTGTTTGCTAAACTGTTCGAGGGTTTATATCATAGAATCCATACTAACCGACTCGGATGCCAACAAGAAGTAACCGATCTTTTCTGCTCATCCGTGATGAACCATAATTATCTAGATAAAACATTAGAACACAGAAGCGTTTAATTAAACATAATTTTCATTCAACTGGAATTAATATCTATAACTCAAAACGCCAAGCTTTCAATATATACATTACCAATTCAGATAGAATTAATACCCACCTACAAACTTGATATAGACAGTGCAAATCCCATTCTCAGCTCAATTTTTTTATTTTTATTTTTTCTTTTCAACCAACTTCTTGTTGGATGCTTGTAATTGTTTAATCTTCTTTTGCAATTTGGTGTTCTCAATCTTCACATCCTGATTTTATTCCCCTCCGGCGCATTGATCTTTCTCCACAACCTAGAGATATTTTCTTTAGGTCGGGCACACATAGGAGGGCCTACCCACGAAAAAAATTGCATCTTCCATGTTATTTATTAGAAAAACACTCAAATACCAACTCACATCTCACAATCAACTAATTTCCTCGAATGCAATTTGCCTTAGGTGGAGTGTAGCTCAAAGAAGACTGTTGATAAGAGCTTTACAAATAGGGATCACAGACCGTTCTGTAGTGATTTGAGTGCATGATTTGAGTGAAAAATGTATTTATTGAATGACACCAAAGTAAATAACTTAAACAACAAACTGCACATTACACAAGGTCTGGTGCCGTGATACCGGAAAAACTGACTCGATAAAGATGGAAGACCATAACAGATCCAAAGAGGATCTTTACGAGTAAATAACATAGTGGTACTTCGTCTCAATGACAATGAGAACGGTATACAAATCGCATAAAATCTTTCAAGTAAAAAGACCAAACTGAACAAGTACATGTTCATATAATGCTTTTATTCCCATGATGACTCTCGGTCCATGCGGATTTAGAAATTCGGTCCAGCTGCTAAGATCTCCTCAGTCAGCTTGTTGTCGGTCCCAATCTTGTAGTTGACAAACACCTCAAAGTTCTTCTTGAAGAGACCTCCTAATTTCAGAAGAGTTTCCTTGTGTGCATTCTTGTTAGACCACTGCAGGTCAAACAAGATCACACACCATTAGAGTAAGGGAACATTTGTAATTTTTTTGAAAAATGCAACATAATTGTTTTCATTTATGTAAATATAGACTTAAGGACCAGAGATAAATTTTGCAGTTGCCAATAAAATTTAGCCTAAATTAAGTGCTTACAGTATTAGCAGGATCGAGAATTTCTGAAGGCACGCCTTCAATTTCAGTGGGGATCTCAAGCCCAAAAACTTCCGTCTTCTTATAGTTTGCATTCAGGAGGGCCCCAGAGTGTATGGCATCAATTATCTTCCTAGTGTAAGCTAACTTGATCCGACTTCCCGACCCATAGCTTCAGATACAACAAATTTTTAATTAAAACCATTTCAAGGACTGCAACAAGGTTACATCATTGCATTTATCAGACTGAGTAATAATGGTTAAAGATTCATTACCTTCCACCTGACCAGCCTGTGTTCACAAGCCATCCAGTTGCCCCGTGCTTTTGCATTTTCTCGGCTAGCATGGCCGCATATTTCGTGGGATGTAGCATAATAAATGCTGCACCAAAGCATGCAGAAAATGTAGCCGTAGGCTCCTTTATACCGTCCTCTGTCCCTGCCACCTGGATCAGTAAAACGAGAAAGCATAATCATTAATTGTTACATATGAGAAAACAAAAATGATCATTTTTTGGTAATGAGGTTGTTGATTTCAAACACAGGAAAGTAGAGAGATTTTAATGGTATTTTACCAGGGCAGTGTAGCCGCTTATGAAGTGATACATGGTTTGGGCCAGGCTGAGCTTGCTGACTGGGGGTAGCACGCCAAAGGCATCACATGCCAATAGGATGACGTTTTTGGGATGCGGGCCCACACATGGTATCTTAGCATTTGGAATGAATTCAATTGGATATGCAGCTCGAGTGTTTTCTGAAATTTAAAAAAAAAAAAAAGTTGGGATCATCATGTTGTTCAGTGCTTCAGGTTTGCTTTTGCTTATTTCTTTTTTATTTTTTATTATTATTTTTTTTTTCTGTGGTTTGGAGTGAAATTTTCCAATATGAATAAGAAACCGATCTCACCAATCTGCATAATATAGGTCAAGAGTTTTACCTGTCACGGATTTGTCCGAGTAGTCCACTTCTCGTGTGTGCTCATCAAACACCACATTCTCAAGCACTGTTGGAACAAGGAGAAAATGTATAATCTCATCCCATATATATAGTAAATCATCAAGAGAAAGAAGGGCAAAATTTATGCAGCATACCAGTACCAAACTTTATTGCGTTCCATATGTCAGGCTCCTTCTCCCTCGACAAGTCTATGCACTTAGCATAACAACCACCCTCAATGTTCGACACACCATTCTCACTCCAGCAGTGCTCATCATCACCTATCAAGTATCTGTTGTGGTCCGTAGACAATGTTGTCTTACCAGTACCTGAAAACAATCACAAACCAATATTTGTGTTGTGAATGTACCTTACCATAACACACTAATTATAAAAGAGATGAGTATGGAAAGTATCCCTGAGGATTGATTCAACTACAAGTAAACCCAATTAACCTGAGGTTTGATTCACTGTTATAATTGAAGAGCTAATAGTAATTGTTCTTCAAATGTGAGATTTCAAATTTATTATATTTTTTGTATCTGAATGGGTCAAATACAAGACAAGAAAAAATTCAAGGTCCCTTGCAGTTTGCAAGCTGTGTTTTCAAATAAAATTTAGGTCAAACCTCAGGCTCAGGAGTACTTGTTATCATACCCTAACCCAAAATATTACCAAAGAAAAACACAGTAATAACCAAATCAGCTCATAAGAAGCCTAAATAAGTGGGAAAAAAATATGGGTCCATATAGTAAAAAAAAGGTATATATACCTGATAAACCAAAGAAGAGCGCCACGTCTCCATCTTTCCCCATATTGCAACCAGAGTGTAAAGACAGTATTTGTCGCTTGGGCATGAGATAGTGCATGACGCTGAAAAGGCCCTTCTTCATCTCCCCTGCATACTGTGTGCCAAGGATGACCATCTCCCTCCTAGCAAGATTTAAGTCTATGCTAGTAGACGAGGTCATGTAGTGGGTGTACCGATTACACGGAAACTGCCCGGCATTGTATATCGTGAAGTCAGGCGTACCAAAGTTCTCCAGCTCCTCCGGAGTTGGCCGGATGCACCTGTCACGTACCATGCCCGCCATTGTTTTTATCAGTTTAGTGTGTGAATCAGGGGCTACTGTATCATTACTTACATGTTGTGCATAAACAGAGAGTGGTAGGCCCTTGCCGAGACGATCCTAACTTTAATGCGGTGCTCAGGGTCCCAGTTAAGGAATTGATCATTCACAAAAACCTGAACATACATACAAGGAATTTATTGGACAATGTTCGTCTTCTACGTAATAAATAAATGTGAAGGCGAAAGTTTGATGAATCAAACAGCAGAATGAGGTACTTAAAAGGTCTGATAAAGATTTTAGAGGCATGATAATAATGTGAAACTAAAATGACATAACATGCTTTGCAATACATGATTGGAGATGCCCAAAGTCGAATATAAGAGTTTCTCCAAAGCTGCTCGATAGAATTGTAATACGCTTAGAGTAAAGTAAATATCTGCTCCACCTTAGAGTTTACTTAAATAAATGTTACCTTGACTAGATCTGTTATATCTTTGGCTTTCTTTTGTGGTTAAGTTTTTTAATTTTGTTTTTCCATTTCAGAAAGTTGAAATATGTTCTACTACATATATCCATTAATACTCCGAATGCATTTGTAATTCTGTAACTAAACATTTTAGTTGAATTTCTTATATAAACACCTGATACTTTTAATTCAAAACTAAATTATCATATACTACTTAATTTATTATTATTATTATCATTATTATTACGCAGCAGATTAATATGAAGTACTTCAATAAAATTGTTAATGTAGACCATATTTGAAACCTGATTTCACCATCGTAAGCTAGAAACAATAAACTACTAGTCACAGCACCCCTGTATAACAGGAATGTTAATAAAAAACTAAAAAAAAAAATAATTAAGAACTTTTGAAAAGATTACATAATTATTTCTATTTAAAATAATTCCTGTCACTAGGGACACTCATTTATACATATAGACGTAATTTACCTTTTATATGTACAACTTTTGATAGAGATGAGAATGCCGAGATTGGATATGTGAACATACTAGGTTAGATAAGATTATAAATGAAAGTATTAGAAATAAAGTTGAGTAACGCCCATGGAGGAGAAAATAAGTAAATCACGATTAAGAAAATGTGCGTAGGAGAGACTTCGAGGTCCCATTAAGAACGCAAAATTAAAAGAAGAGGGGGAGATCTAAAAAAACTTGTAATGAGACAATAAAAAATAATATATTATTCAAACTTAAATGAGGATATGCATTTTGATCGAGCACGATTGCGACATGTGATTCATATAGCCGACCCAACTTAGCGGAGTAATTGATATATTTATTAATAAAAATAATAAGTGGACCAAAATCAAAAACACGTATTCACTAAATACGTTTTCTTTACAATTTAATTGTAAAACGTATTTAGGGAATACGTTTTACAAAATTTTTTTACAAAAGAAACGTATTTACAAAATACGTTTTACAAATAAAAACATTAAAAAACGTATTTTGTAAATACGTGCTTTTGATTCTTGTCCACCTACCATTTTCTACTTTGTTGTTTGTCCAGCACTTGTTTTTTCATTTTTTTCATTTAAAAAATTCGATTTTAGCAGGTTGCTGAGTAATTGATTGAATTTTATGTCAAATCGGAGACCGTTAAAGACGATTAATTCTCACTTACGAAAAAACAATAACAGATTAAAGATTTATCAAATTTAAATTTATTTATAACTTAGTAATTCAAATGTTACATAATATTAGAAGTTTTAAGAAGACATAAATATAAAAGTTCAACATACTAAAATTATAAAGCACCGACGGGTTGAAGATATACATTTATATTTATATACAGAGGGGATGGCTAGTAACTTCATTTTCAATTGTTGGGTCGGTGGCGCCATTTTATATATATACTATGTAGATATTGTTTCTTTTCCTTGAATTGCTGAATAAGATATCTTAACCGTTTCGTGGCAGCCCATACCTACTGACGACTGTTTACTTTGTTTGTAAGACCTCACACCAGCATGGGGCTCAATGCATCAACATGATGGGTGCCAGTGCCCGCTCTTTGGCGGGCCTTTAAACATCAACCCAACCCGTCTATTAAGTGGGGCGGGTCGGGCCAGACCGCGGGCCCAGACCCATTTTGACATGTCTAGTAATCTCATAAAATGATAACCTTACATAGTTGCCAACAAACCCAAACCCAGTGATAATTCACATACTATATATGAGTTGGGTATGTTGCGCACGTCGTCACTTCTTGAATTGGAAGTATTGATTTATTTCACTACAAATATTTTAGTTTAAAAAGAATATTAACAAATAAAATCATGATAGAAGCCATGTTTTAAATACCGTACCATACCGGCCGGTATTATCGGTAATACCGGACACCAGTGGTCCGACCGGTACGGTTACACCCAAAATACCATTTTGGTCAAAATACCGGTCTTATACCGGAAAATACCGGTTTTACCGCCACATATCGGCCAAAATACCGGTCAAAAATACCGGTTTTCTTATTTTTTTTTTAAAAAAAATATTTTTAATATATTTTTATTATTTTATTTATGTAAATTGAAATTTCTACACTAAATTTTAATATATTTATATTGTTATTAGATGTTAATTAATTTTAGTATTAATTAAAGTTCATTTTGTACATTATTTATATTATAAGAACAAATTAATTTAAAATTTATTAAAACCGATAAAATAGACGATAATACCGATCGTACCGGTAATACCGCATACCGGTCGCTACACCGGTACGACGACCAGTACGATTTTTAAAACATTGGATAGAAGTAGTTTAAAGGTTTGAGTTTAGTAAGTAAATTATTATTTCTACATATTCCGTATTTGTTTTTGAAGATGCTACGGTCCCGTTACGGAACCATTTCGAGATTTGTAACCGTTATTTCAATTATCTCCGACGGTTACATGATGATCTAACGGTTATAGACCCTGACGGAATGGTTCCGTAACAGGACCGTAGCACTTCCTTTTATTTTTATTTTTCGGAACAGTTTGCAAGAAATTAGAATGTGATTGGATATAATTTATTATGGACTTGATCGGATTTGTTGAATAACTAGAATTAATTTTGTAAAAATTAATTGAGTTAAGTTTGAGTGATATTTTGAGTTGTATTATAATAATATTTAAAATATTTATGATAAATGTGATTTAAAATATTTAAAATATAACGATTAATGTAAAGATGAATAGTGAATTAAAGTTGATATACAATGTGAAATTGATTAATTGATACTACCTCATATTCTTTTTAAACGTCGTTTTGACTTTGTCAACCATTAACCAACTAAATATCGTTTTGAATTTTTTGTAAATTATTACCTCTATTTAGCTAATAAATTACCTACGTCTTTTCATATTCACTCTTCATATTTTTTCAAAACATTCATCTCTATCTTCATTAATGAAGGTTATTATTGAAAAAAAAAATTCATAATTATTGTGCAACTTCTCAAAATGACATTTATTATGAATAGGAGGGATTGTTATTTAGTAAAATTGATAATACTGCTTAGAGTTTAGTTAACCTAAATTTAAGTTAAATTTTGAGTAATAATTTTTTTTTAGGACACAAATGCTAGTAAAATAATTTATATCCAACTATAAAAGTCAAGCAAATACCTTTTCCAATGAGCACAAGTAATCCACGGCTCTTTCTCTATTGACCATGAAAGTGTGCTCGTCCATTTCAATATTCGGTGAGCCCCTATCACATCATCAAAATTTCGTGACACCATTAACTAATTTCAACAAATAATAAATTTTCTCAGTGTCATACTCATTAATTAATTCATATTCATGAAATGTGTGAATATGTTTTAAATAATAAGTATCGTGCGTGGCAAACTCATAGAATTTTAAAAAATAATAAAAAAATAAAAAAGGAGAGAAGAAGAAAAGAGAATACTCACTTTCCCCACCAAAGATCGTCGGCTGTGGTTTCATCTTTGACAACGCGCTTATCTCGAGGAGAACGTCCTGTTTTCGCGCCCGATAATGTGGCAAGTGCACCACTTGACGTGATAAAAGACCCTTTCTCGTAGTGTATTGCTTGCTCGTAAAGTTCTAAAATGAATAAAATATTAATAATTATAAAAAAAAGTATTTTTCATTGGTTTAATCAAAGAGGGCCCGAAGAAAGTTGAATTTCAAAGGGAGCGTTTACCAGCAGGGGAGAGATTATAAAGGATGTGCGTAAACTTGAGGGAACTGTCGCTGATGTTAGTGGGAGCAAAGAGGTCCTGCTGCGGATAGCTCGCAGCAGCTGCCGCCACCCGCGGCGTCTCCGCCGTCCTCGCCGGATCTCCCTTCACCACCTTCGGCCCTGTCTCCCTCGTCAGCGACGCCAGAGATGCACTGCAAATTAATTTTATTTTCACTCTCTCCGCTTCATTTTTATTTAACTGCTACTTAATCAATCGCACCGATTAAAATTCGCATCTAATTACTAACGAACACAGATCGCTGATTTCACAATAAACGAGCAATTAATCAAATTAGTTTGAACGAAGGGGGATGAAATTAGTTAATAGTAATAATACCTGATCGACTGGAGCTGCTGCTTCTGGCGCTCCTCCTCGGCGAACGGGCCCTGCGCCGCCTGGAGCGGCGTGGTCGGCGCCGACTTTTTCTTCTGCAGCGAGTGGAGCTCGTCGAGCGTCTGCGCCTTCACCGGGCGGGCGCTGTCGTCGTGGCAGATCTCGCTCTCCGCCTTGTCATCCGCCTTCTTCTGCGTCTGGATCTTCGGGAGGTTGTTTCGCCCCTTCACGCTGAAGCTAAATTCACCGTTCTCTGCCATTTTCTTATGATTTTTTTTCCTGCTGTCAAAAAAATACGGCGGCCGTTAGAGCAAAATACTTGCGGTATCGGAATTCAATATTGAGCTACCGACGGCGGCGGCTGACCTTACTAAGGAGCGAGCAAACTGTGTGTTAGAGGGTTGAGAATTGGGCTTCGACCATGCAAAAGGCTTCTTTTGGAAACTCTGCAGTGTGAGGAAAGAAAGGAAATGAAAGGGATGCGGTTGATTTGAGGTGCTCGTTTGCGATATTTATACTCGCGGAATTGAACTCTGGTTAAGTTAACCATGGTTGCCTAACTATAACGAGTCGACCAAGGCTGATATCATCCGATAAGGTGCGTGGATTTGTTTCCCTTTTAAAATAAATAGTCAAATTTTTTTAGAGATATCAGAAAAAAGGATGGAGTGGGAAAGGATTGTGACAAAAGATCTCGCGATAGCAAAAAATAAAGTAGTCAGGATATTACCTGGTAGGCTGGTCCGACCGTGTAGATAATAAAGTAGTCTTCACGGTCGCGTTTGTAACCGTTAGTTCATTATGTAACCGTTTGGATAGTTGAATTAACGGTTACAAATATTAATGAAATAGTTTCGTAATAGAATCGTAGCATCTCCCATAAATATCTAATATTGTAATATTATATTCTAAAAATAATAAAATTGTTAATGTATAATATAAGTATATCTTTTATATTAAAAAAAAGTATGTCAAACTTGTCTAAATAGACAAGTCACAAAATATTTATGAAAATAAATAAATTTCCAATAGGTGGTTATGAGATCTAATGAATTTCAATTGTTTACGTGTATGGCTCTATCCATCTTGCAGTGGTTTCACAAGAAAAAGTTGACTAAATACCTGCTGTACATTTATACGTCAAACTAGAGATTTTGCATAGAAATGTAGATATATTATGGAATCATTGTGTTCAATAAATTTTTTTTTTTTTTTTTTTTTCCAAAGGCAAACAAACAAATATATTACTCAAACAAAGGTTCAGTACATCGACATATCAACTGATCACTAATCAAAGGCCTATAACCATAATCCAATAATCTGCCCCTAACAGACCACACTGACCACAACAAAGAAAAGCAAACAAACAAGGGATCACAAAACCTAAAAACTAAAAATTCAGAAACATTACACACATCACAAAGATTCCATATGTTGACCAACAGAGAACTGAAAGGTGAATTCTTTGCATCTCCATTCTGTATCAGGTGGACCACAGAGCCATTGTTCAGGAGCAAGGTGCATTGTTGCCCCATTAGTTGAGATCCTTTGAGTTTCTCTAAACACCATTGAACAGCTAACAATGATGCCTCCATCTCACAATTTGCACCCTCTAATGTCCCTGTCCAATTCATTTTGCAGTCCCCCTTAGCTTTCACCTCACAATCCACTGTAGCTCCTTCTTCTTCTTCAGATAATTGAGCACTGATGGCCAAAAATAGTCTACCTACTCTCCCTTGAGGATTAACTGAAGTGAAGTCTGAGCACACTTGATTTTTTCTGCTTTCCCATTCCAGCCATTCTGATTTTGCCCCCTCCACAATCTCTAGCTCATGAATCCAGTCCCCTTTGAAGACCCACTTATTCCCTGCTCTCCACATGTTCCACATTAAGAATGCAGCTAAGTGGATTCTATCCTGCAGCTGGGAAGACATTTTTTTGTTGCATGTTGACCTCCGCCATCTTTGGAAATCCCCAAAATTATGAAAATTGAAATACCAGTCCAATCCACAAAGCTTCCAGCAATTCACATATTTTGAACATTTAAACAACAAGTGGATTAATGTCTCAGATTCCACTCCACACACAGGGCAAATTGAATCAAGAGTCATACCTCTCCTAATTAAGCTATCCTGGACACTTAAGTAATCAAACCAACATCTCCAAAAAAAGAATTTAATTTTTGGCTTGATATTAAGGTGCCAAGTAGCCTTCCACATATTCTTCCACCAATCACCCCCCTCACTAGAAGAAGCCACATCCCCCATAGAAGACCTGCTAGCCATCAGAGTAGTGTAGACCATCTTAGTGGAGAATTCCCCTTTCTTAGATCCATGCCAAACCCCCCTATCCTTTTTTCTGTTAGAAGATAATGGAATTTTGAAGATAAGCTCAGCATCCATTGGATCAAAAGTCTGTAAAATCCTATCCTTGTCCCACTCTCTTCCCCCTACCTTAATCAACTCACTAACCCACTGAATTCTGGCCTTACTCCCCCAGAAACAACATCTAGGCTTGAAATGCAATTTATTTGGGATTCAAGGAGAATCCCAAATATTTATCCTAGACCCATCCCCAACCTCTAACCTAGCCTCTAATCTAAGAGACTCCCTGACCCCCAGCCAACTCTTCCACAACCAAGAGTCCCCAGATTTAGCTCTAACCTCCCACAGATTGCAATCCCAAAAACACCTGCCCTTTAGCACTCTGCTGACCAATAAATTAGGAGATGTTAATAATCTCCATAATTATTTAACCAACAGAGATTCATTAAACACTCTCAAATCCTTAATCCCCAACCCACCATCATTCTTAGACCTCACTAACTTTCCCCACTCAACCCAATGCACCCTAAACCCCCCAGCATCATTTTTACCCCACCAAAAATTGGCCATGTCACTACATATTTGATTAAGAATAGATATAGGCACTCTAAAACAAGACATTACATATATAGGGAGGGCACTCAACACAGATTTATTAAGAATTTCTCTCCCTGATTCACTCAAAAATTTGTTTTTCCAACTCATGATTTTAGATCTCACACACTCACTGACATATTGGAAAGTTTCTCTCTTAGATCTCCCAATGCCCAAGGGTAGTCCCAAATATCTAGCAGATTTGAATCTGTTAATCCCAGATAACCTTCCACATATATGAATTTGATGTCTCTCAGGAGTATTTTTGAAAAAAAAAAAATGATGATTTATCAAAATTGACAATTTGCCCAGAATCCTGACCATAAAGAGAAAGAATATCACAGACAAGATCAGCATGATGTAAATCAGCTTTACAGAATAGCAGAGAGTCATCTGCAAAGAATAGGTGACTAACAATAGGAGCATGCTTACCTATCTTAATACCCTTATAAACACCAGCAGCACAAGCTTTGTTAACAAGATTTGAGAGAGCCTCAGACACAAGAATGAACAAATAAGGGGACAGTGGGTCCCCTTGTCTTAAGCCCCTAGTTGGCTGCAGATAACCAAGGACAGAACCATGCACATTAAAGGAATAAGACACTGAACAAACACAAGCAAGGATCCAAGACACAAAGACTTCACTAAACCCCATATGCCTACACACATTAGTCAAAAAAGCCCATTCAACCCTGTCATAAGCTTTGGCCATGTCAAGCTTAATTGCCATAAAATGTTTTTTTTTTCCTTTTCTTTTACTGTTCAAGTAATGCACACATTCATTAGCAACCACAACATTATCCAAAATTTGTCTACCTGGCACAAAAGCTGATTGAGAATTAGAAATACAACAAGGCAAAACCTCTTTTAGTCTGTTAGCAATGATTTTGGCAATTAATTTGTAAATCACATTGCACAAACTAATGGGTCTGAAATCCATGACTCTGGTGGGGTTTTTTATTTTAGGGATCAAAGATATCACCACATGGTTAATTCCTTTAGGCATTTTACCAGAGTTAAAAAAGTTTTTCACAGCCAGGCAAACATGAAATTTAACCACAGACCAGGATTTCTGAAAAAAAAAACAAGCAGTGAAACCATCTTCCCCAGGAGCTTTTTCCTGGTCCATACTAAACAGAGCCCTTTCAATCTCCTCATCCTCAACACCCCTAATCACCTTCTCATTCATATCACCAGTGATGGATCTAGAAATGCCTTCAAGACTACATTTGTTATCAAGAGGAGAAGATGATTTAAACAGCCTATCAAAATACTTCAGCAACTCATTAACAGTTTCTTCTTTAGTAATGCTAAGAGAGCCATCATCTTTAGTAATGTTATCAAGACTGTTCACTCTTCTCCTATGATTCACACTAGCATGAAAAAACTTAGAATTCCTATCACCATCCCTAAGCCATGTCACCCTAGATTTCTGTCTCCAGAACATCTCCTCATTCCTATAAGCTAACTGAAGATCCATTTTACAATTATTCCATTCCCTCCAGTCCCTCAGGCCACCCTGGTTTCTCAATTTTTCAAGTCTATCAGAGCACTTAGCAATTTGAGTACAAGCATTAGAAACATTCATCTTCTTCCAATGTAAAAGAGAGTTCCTGACATTTTTAATTCTTTTAATGATGCTATATAAAGGATGACCAGAAACACTCAAATCCCAAGCAGATTGAACAACATCATTAAAACCAGCTACAGTCACCCATCTAACATAAAAAACAAATCTTTTAGTCCCTACATCACAACGAGGCAAGTTATCCATTAACAGAATAGAATGATCAGAGGAGCTCACAAAAGTATGCTTAACCTGAGAGTTAGGGAAATGGTTGACCCAGTCCTGAGAAAAGAAAAATCTATCCAGCCTCTCCTCAATAGCCCTATCCCCTTTTCTGTTGTTGGTCCATGTAAAAGGATGTCCAACAATTTTAGCATCTATCCCTCCAAGAACAGAAACCATATTCCTAAAATCAAGAAATCTAGCTGCCTCCCTTCTTATACCCCCCCAGCTTCTCAGAATTATCCAAAATATCAGTAAAGTCTCCACACAAAAACCAAGACCCCCCCAATACAGGTTGTGCCTAATTAGCACCTCCCATTGACCTTTTCTAATATCCCTATCAGTGCTGGCATAAACAAAAATACCCCACATCACATCAAAATGACCTACCATAGTAAATTTGACTTCTAAACAAAAACCAGAATCCACAATCTCCATAATTGTGATCCTGTCAGACCAACATAGAAAAAGCCCACCCTTAAAACCAGAAGGAGGACAGTAAAACCATCTGTCATCCAATTTAAGTTTTTTACACATAGATTCAACAAATTTTTGTTTTTGTTTTTCTTTTTTGTTTTTTTTTTTT